AAAAGTTGTACGAGACTGTGTAGCATCTCTATGAAGTTCAACATACTCGAAGGTCACAAAATTCTACGGTGAGGGTCTGAGTGGAAGTCCAAAAAACAACGTAAGAGGACTTAACTTTTGGAGCTCACCCGCCAAAAAACACGAGTCCGGTGTAAGCCCCTCTTCGAGGGGCGCGGACGCAGCCGCGCGAGAGGGGCTTAGTTAAGCTTATGTGTTATGTGACCAAAAGGGAAAGGCATATACGGCCCATGCATTCCAGTTTTAATTCCTGAACTACGCCATTGCTATTTCTCTATAGACAGACACCATAACTTGTGTCACATGGCCAATCCGGAAATCAATGTTACAAGGCCACTCCGATAGCCTCCGTGAGAACATTGTTTGCTCGGAGTATATCTATGGGTTACCTGTTCATGTTGGATCCCTCGCAACCCAATGGGGCCTTCTACGCCGGATACGACCGTCATTCCTGACAGTGAAAATGCTTCAGTTGACGAGCAAGCAGACAGCATCGGTGTCATCACCGACACAATATTCGCAGAAGGCATGACCGTGGAGGAGTTTGTTATCGCGGTTAGCCCCAACTCGACCACCCCTCCGGATCTAGAAACTATCGGACAAATCTCTCAGCAAAATCAAGTCACGTATCTGCGCTTGCCAATTTACCAAGTGTTGGTCTTTTAACTCCAGGCATCACGATGAAATGTTTCATTTTTTAGGCAAAAGCTTGGGCCTTTCAAATGTAGACCCGCTCACATGGTGTAGTCGAATACGGAGGCGATTCACAGAGTATATACCATCCTCAAGCTTTTAATGAAACTGAAAGGGTAAACCGCGCATTGTCGTGTCAATTGGAAGGAAGACGGATTGTCTGTCGTGGTCACAGATGTATGAAAGTGCGATATCGGTTCATCGAAACATAACTGAAAATATTCTTGCCTCGTCTCCCATTCAGGACACTTTCCAAGTTATCCAACATTCATTTTTTATTTATTCTGACCTTCTACTGAATTTTGGTCTTTTCATCTCATCATGTCTACCAACGTGGATTCGTATCAAACCGAACCGTGGACGCATTTACGAGAATATGTTTACACCCAAACTCATTTTCCGAACACGAAATGGTTTCCCGCCACTATCGTTTGTCTGATGCTTGCTCACGTCATTACAATGGTCGTTCACGTCGTTGGTGGTGTCAAAAGTTCTCGTGGAAAAGAACGGTCACTGTTCCTCAGAGACTCGCAAGGTTATTATCATCCAAACCACCACATCGCCATGCCATCAACGGTCATGTTATATGCAGTCGGTCAGTCAATTTGGAAAAGAACCAGTAAATCTTTCGGAACAACAGCTCAACATAGCCTGATGCCCCAACAGCTTCATGCCTGGCAATGGGCTCCTTTTTATATGATTATCTTTCGAAGGCTGTTCATGCACAAAGCATCCTGTTTTACAGTCTAGGGGTGTCACGTAAGTCATTATTTGCTTATGCGGTTCTTCGATCCAATCAATCAATATAATAATTGTCTTTTTGGTGCATATTTCCTTGCACTTATGTAGTGGGTTTGATGGTCCATTGGCAGCAAAGTGAGAACGTTTTCAACAGCTTCGTTCGCCAAACCATTGTATCGTGATACGGAACACTGATTTTTCTGGAGGGTTATTGCAAAGTCGTCCTAGTGGCATACGCTTTGCCACCCTCCAAGTTCCGATTCCTTCAACGTGCTAGTTGGAAAGCAGGTTTACACAGCCCCAGACGCCATATCCTGAGCTCTAGTCATTTCAATCTTCTCTTCGGTATTGGCACGCTTCTCCCTTTCATATTACCGGCAGTGCCTGTGTTTTTATCATTCAACTGTGTCAGAGCGACATTACTGAAAGGGAAGATATTGGATGACCTTTGTGTGGAATTGATCGGTTTGTTAGAGCTTACCTCTACCTCAGCAGACAATGAGATCTTGGCTTCGGAGAAACGTATGGCAGCACTATCTCAACTCGCAGGACTTTCCAAATCCCCCGAAGAGATTTGGGGTTATTACAAATGGACTGCTGGAATGTATTGCATCGTAGTTTGCTCACAATCTGTTGCTGCCATCTGGGTTCACATCGCCATTCTCCGACGTTTGTTTGCTCAAGTCAAAATCGTGAAAGATTGTTGGATACAACGACAACGGCTCAGATCAGAATCAAAGTTCACAGGCGTTAATGTCACGTATCCTCCCGATGATCAACAAGACGCGCATGTTGGCATCATAAAGATGAAGAATACCGGAGCTTCGAATAACTTGAAAGCCTCGAATAGCGAATTTGTCAATAATTGGACAGATTGGTTACCGAGTTACAAGAGTCCACCCAATATTTCACAGGAAGAATGGAAGTCCGATCTACTTGATACCAACAAGAAAAACTGGGCGACAAAGGAAAAGAGCCTCATGAAAGAACAGTATATCATATTGAGAGCTTATGCAACAAACTACCTTTGGATCACGATTCTGATCTTTATAATCGAATTGACCTCCTTGCTATTCACACTTTCAATTTTGCTGAACTGGTATGGCGTTCCTTATAGACTAAGTCCTATTCAGGCTAGTACGTGGATAGTTGTATGGGCAAATTCAATTTGGGGGTAAGCAGAGCCAATTATCTCGAGTCATTGCTTCTACTCTGATGGCTGATAGAATAAAATTGCAACATTTGACATGCCGGGAACGCACGATCAGTAAGTTTAGCTCACAATTTACGCCTCATATCTTTATAACCAGTCTGCGATAAACTTATTAATGATTATTGTTTATCCCTCTTACAACGGCCAGGAGGTGGTCCAGGATTTTTGCTGGGAATTGTGAGTGATTACTCAATCGTGTCTATGAGATAAGGTAGAGATGTCATTTGTTTACCTCAAGCATGTCTTAATCTCTGTTCATCAAGGTTGCAAATCTAGTCGCATTTTCTTCAACGCCACAACTGCCAAAGGAACCTGAGAACAGCCGGCGGCCCACGAAGTCCATTCGAGATTCTATCAGCCTTTGACGATACACCGGATTGAATTCATTCGACAAACGACTATATATCAGTATGTATATCACAAGGAAAACGTGTTGTCCTGAAGGATTACGTTTTCAGTCTTGTGAAGAAGACACGCCGTGGTTGGCCTCATAGACCATATTACGAAGTATCAGGAAACATAATTCATGATGCAAATGTAACGTCCGTCGGATTTGTGGGAAAAGATTCCTGTCTCGCATCTCACATGAGGCCAAATGACCAATCAATCATTTCATGTATACGTTCACTTGCTCTTTTTACACTTCATACACTCTCCCATTTCACCGAATTAGGTTCATTCAATGTCACACATGATTTTCTTGAAAATCCTTCCTTGGACCAGTTCCACTTTCATTAATTCGCTGCTGATCTTGATCTGCCGACAATTTACCATGCTTCTATAATATTTTAGATTTTTGATGTACCTTATATAAAGAGAAGGAAATTTTATTTATTTGTGATGAATTTGGATTGCCTATCCGCCGCCCAAAAGCCACAATTCAAATTTCATGTGTAGGAATGCTCTAGTTTACCACAAGCCACATTAACTGCACGCGTCGACTGGAGCCTCCTCTGTGGACGTCGCGGTTTGAGGGACTTACGTTAAGTGAGAGGACTTCCTGTCCCTAAAGAGCTAACTTAACACAAGCCCTTCACTCAAGCCGGAGGCTCAAGTCTCGTACCCATCCCGGTTGTTGCAATGTGCTTTGTCAAGTCAGCTTGAAAGATGCGACCTAAACTGAAATTCAAGTGTGGGGATTCATACGCTCACATAGAGAATTTTATGTTATTGAATTGAAAATACGTGAACATACTCCAAAATACGATTTTACAAAGCTTCACTTCACCCAAACCCTTAAGCTCCCTAGTGCAATTGTATTTCCAGATGTAGATTTTGGTAGATGTTTTCTATGAATATGATCACACATTTATTAACATTAAGCCCATGATAATATTCTGGTAATAGTCATTCTGTTACAAATAGCCTGCAACAAACATGGTGGCTTCACCAATTCAGGAAACTCAATCATGCAGTTGAGAAATTATCTGTAACTCACACTACTGCTATAATTCTGATGAGATATCATAACTCACCTCCTCAGAATCAAAATCAGGCATTGCCTCAATGTGAGCTCAATGATATTCAAATCATCTACCAAGCCTTGAATATGTGGATTGCCAAAAGATTTTGATTGGATTTCTTTGAGACAGTTCGGATGGATTTAATAACAAACAGTATCCCCTAAGTTGGAAAACCAAGTCAACAATTGATAATAAACCTTCCTGAACTATAACAATTCTGAAAACAAGAGAAAAAATTATTGATGAGGAGTCTGTTAGCCGAGTAAAAGCGGCAGACTGAGGTTTATGGTGATGGTTGCCTCATTGTTGCCCTGCAACATCAAATCAGATCATCACTCAGCCTTCTTTCAATATCTTTTTGTGATTCGAACTCATTTAGTGATATTGGATGAACCTACAATATGAATGGGGAATCGATCGACCAATGATATTTTTACATAGAGCGTTGACTGTAGGAGCGGTCAAAGGAACTGAGTTTCGGAGAGAGCCACGGAGAAATCGTCCTACTGGAAACCTTGGCTCCCTTTTTGAAATTTAGTTCGCGCTCGGGGAATTTCATTGGACTTCTGTGGAATGTCGCATAAGGATTTGTGAATCTTTCGTAAGGACTCAATTGAAAATCTGACTCTGATGCGCTTCTTAAGATACCAGTTGTCAGGTCTGCGTCATATCGGATTGGACTTTTATGTTCATGTAGAGAGCCTGTAGGCCAATTCTGATTGGATTGAAAAATTGCTTTACCTTTGCCTTCGATAGGTCTCGGTGATTTCTTAGGCAATTGCATAGCTAGTATGGTTCAAATTGACCATTTATCTCAACTTCAAGTTTATATGCAGTGAGTAGGCAGAGCAACTGACCGTTTCCGTTGATGCGAAGGGGCGTGGCCTCATTTCTGATATATCGAGTACTGTGTTGAGAGCTCCCAGTTTCAAGAGTTTTGATATTTGAACTCGATTCTTGAATCTCAATCTTTGAGTTTCCTTTTTGTCCATTTGTGGTACACATCTTTGGAATCTCTTCAATCTGAGGGACCTGTTTTGCTTTTGAGCCTTTCCATTTTGACTTGAATAGAGTCAAGCATCTTTTTGAGAGGATATGTTCGGTTCTTGTTGAGTTAAGACTGACACTCCACTGATGTCCAGGTTGGGAATTGAAAGACTTCTTTGAAATCACATCATTTATATTAAAAGGAACTCTGATTCTGAAGGTGTTATGAACTTGAGGGAAAGTAAAACTATAAGTCAACCATCCAATCCCGGTGAAGAGAGCCAGGATGAATAGCACATGAGTCATAGTTCCCGAGGACTGTGTGTTCATTGTCTGATGATGCATTGCTCGTTCTCCCAATGTTTTTCTTGAGCTACTTTTTGTATTTGTTTGCCACTCAATCCGTGCTTGCGCCGCAACATTCAACCGACAAACTTTCAGATCTGAAACAAACATTGTATATGGTTCAGGATCTTCTCAAAAGATCAATTCGAATCAATTGATGTTTCCATCCACCATTGCTTCATGGCCTTGCAGGCTTCGAGAGCAGTATGTGCGGTGATTGAAAGGGTATAAAATCAAAATGGTGGTCGGCCTTGGTCCGCGAGCTGCAATTTGACTCGTCATGACTTGGAGGCACATAGGATGAGAAGGGTAGAGACCTAGAATCGCAGTTCGCCCACAAGATTAAAATACATTATTTGATGACCAGAAACAATCAAGTGTGTTGACTGCTGTGGAAGTGAGGCGTGTCCTTCACCCTGCCCACATTTCAATGAAATGAGCTCGCCACAAATATCAAGCACTCCATATAATATCACTCGACTTCTGAGTGGCTTCAGAAAGTGTGTTGCAACCTTGTAGAATATGCCTCAAGAAAAGGCACAGGAGCAGTGAAATTTGGTTCCATAGATCCCTTGCCACATCCCTCGCCAATTCGGGCTTTTCTTGCGGGGAATCGTTTTTTAAATTCAAAATGTTACAGTGCTTGAGACAAACTGGTCATCAGACCACAAAAGCTGCGCTGCTCAGCGGGACTGATCCAATGCGAGGCGAAAGGAATCTTGATAAGACTTTGACGATTCGAATGCGAAGTCGAGGGGTATAGGAAAGGTATGATGCTTAATTCACAGAATGAGATAAAACGAGAGAAAGACATTGAGCTGATGAATGAGCAAGTCATCCAAACATAGGATAAAGAACAAGACATAAGTTGATAGAACAAGAGACCAGTGACATGTCTGGTGGATGTGAAACTGGATGACTGACAATGACATGCTGGAGTAGAACACGTGAAAGGTGGTTTTGATGGATCCACTTTCGGCAATTCAATCCCCAGAACTTCGACTCTCAGCTTTGTACCATCATGGACTCAACTTCAATGTCGATAACAAACCTTTCCACCTCAACTGATTCACGATTATATATTGGGAATCTAGCTCCAGCCGTAGATGAGTGAGTCTATGTTCCATGATCTCATTCGATTGATAAGCTTTCTTCTAATCGATTTATTTTCAACTATTTTGTAGATTTGCCCTCGTTGCTCTGTTTTCAAAGTTTGGAAAGATTTCAAAACTAGATTTTCTCTTTCACAAATCAGGTATACTCCGAGGAAAACCACGAGGCTATGCATTCATCGAGATGAGTAGGAAAGATGTTAGTGGTACCCAACTTGAGCAACGATTCGAATCACCACAAAATTTCACTTTACTGACCATGATCATCCTTTTTTTGGCTTTTCTGATTGAAATTCTTGGTCAGGAAGCCCTGAAGGCCATGGTTGAATTGAATAATAAACCTCTTCGCGGTAAACGTATCCTGGTGACTCCTGCAAACGAGGTGCGTTCAGTTCGTTTCAATCCCTATCTATTTCAGGTATGTCCTAAATCAGAGTATCACATTGAAAAACAGAGTCAATACCAAGAGCAACAAGTGACAACTTCTAGCAAACCCAACTATCACAACAAGAACCAGTCTGGTCATGATGGTAGGCACAATGGTCAGAATGGAAGAGGCTCAACTTTTGACCCGACGAGACCTACTACACTGTCACTCTTGAAATCACAACAGCAACCTAAAGGGTGCGTAATAGTTTTGCTAGCAGGCCAAGCATTTTTTCACCATGTCAACTCAAGAAATTCGTTGCATTACCAACAGAGTCAACAATAAGATAGCCGCTTTGGAAGCCAAGCTAGCTTCAATGCAACAGACCAAGCTCGCTGCACCGGATCACTGCGCTTCAAACCCTAACACGAATTCCGCAATTACCTCAAAGCCGGCATCGCTGCCGGAACATCCTAAGAAATGGCTCACGAATCCACCGCCACCGACGAAAACCCGCAATACCACGGCAACTCATCGAACGGGCCAACGGGGCAGCCAAATCTCCCAAGCCAATTCATCTCAATCATCCACATCATCTCATCCTTACCACAAACATGTAGACTCGGTTGGCTTAACTTTGAAAGAGCAACTACGACGGAACCGCGACTTGCACCTTTCGGCGGCTCCTGAGACTAGTTCTAAACCTATGAGACAAAATTGCCTCCATGGTACCACCTCTTCCGAAGTCATTGATCATTCATCGGACCAAATTCCCTGCAAATCAAATACTTTGCCCGCCGAAATTGATGGCCCACTGCCGCCCGACGATCCGCATACAGCCACCTCCGCCCCCAATATACCAGAGTCTGCTTATTCACAAATGTTACCTTCCTCTTCTACCGACTTTCATCCTCCATCTGAACGGGTCTCCTCAGTCGCCCGTTCATCGCCATCTCCTACTCAGAACGATTGTCCAGGTGACACAGATAGTCAAAAACTCTCCATCTGCTTACCAAATGACCATCACCGTACCACCAAGCTTAAAGATGGATCAAATCCCTCAAAGGACCTTGCCAAGCCCGTGCGTTAGCCTCTTTTATCCTTGAAGTCAACTTTTTCTCATTCTATGTTTCTTGTCCTCGACGCCGTTCTAACCTACATGTACATTCTTCACAGATCAAGCCTGACTTGACCAAAATTTCCTGGTCGTCCAAGAGAACTTGATCGTTTCTTTAATACTTCCTTTTTTTCAATAAATGCTATATATTATGAATATATCTGTTTCCTTACGTCTCACCTTGAACTGCTCTGAAATAAATGTAAACAATGTAAATCTCTTGTAAGGTACTGCCAACCTTTCAAATAAATTCCAAGATCTCTCAACTATCTACTCATCTGAATTTCTCTATTCAAGATTGGAATCCTATGATATTAGTCTATCATTGTACAGAAGTGACAAATGAAAGTTATGGCTTGTTTGGTAGAGTTGGGTTCTTTTGTCAATTGTATGCTCAATATATGAAAACAGCTTGATTGGGTTTACATCTGATTTGATTCCTGGTGATACTTGAATATCTGCATGTCATTGGATTCATAGGGTTCTCCTCTGCGTAGGTGTGCATTGTTCTCAGTTTCCAATTCAGCTCAACAACGTCCACTAGTGGGCTTTTTCTCACTTTTGGTCTTTCCTTTTATTGCTACTGTTGCTATTGACAAAGGGGTTGTGACCAAAATTTCTCTTGCGTACCATGGAACTATGACCATGGGCATCACACAGAGGATAATTGGCGGTTGAGTCGGTGGCTAGGCAGCCTGAAGGAGATGAAGATGGTAAAAGTCAAGTAAATGAAATGCAAATTTCGCGAATCAACAAAGGGAAATGGCCACTTCTTATACATACAACAGGCATCGATTAGTGACAGAGGGTCGAAGTTTACCAGATCAAACACTTGTTGTCATCTGGGTTCAAGTCAACCCTTCCAATCAAGTTGCTGTGAGTAACAGAGGTTCTCCGCAATATCTTGAAAATGAAACCAAGGTGAAAATGATCTTAGCTGAATTCAAACCGCTTCCAGTCAAGCCGTTTGTTGTGACGAAAACCGGCACAATGTAGTGCCAGAACTGCCAGAGACTTGGAATTGGCATACAACATAGACAAGAATGACTACAAAGTTAATTACAGGCCTATACAAAGAGCTCGCTTGTCCTGTCGATATGATTTTGGCAATGGCCTGCCTTGCTACGTAACTTGAGCAATAACTGGGAAGATGAGGAGTTGTTATCTTGAGAGTCATCTGAGACGCTTCGCACACCTCGTAGCCAGTCTTTGCCAGTGACGGCTGGGGCAAAAGGCGAACTCTTCAGATGATATACGCTTCGGGTTCAGAGTCTTTTTTTTCTTCTTCCCTCAGACGGTGTCGTTGTTGGCACAATTCCGACCTCATCACTTTGCCCTCCTGTATGGCCTATAATAAGTAAGTGGGTATGTACGTGTAAGTATGGCCTTGAGGCATGGCGTACAACAAAGGTGATCAAGTTCATTGGACTACCTCCTTCATACCCACATGCCCGTATGTAAGCGGAATCCCATGAAACTCATTCCTTCTCGGCTACTGGGTTTTTCACGCAGGATGAAGGCCCATGAACTCCATGAAGGCACCAATAATGCTGCCTAGCGTAGTCTCTGTACAGCTATGGATGGATGTAACAAAAGACTGCGAGCTTCGAGTCAAGCATGGGCTGGTTTGATAATTTCGCCGCAACGGTTTAAAAGCGGAAATTTCCAATGCTTATCCAGATTCTATACCAGACGAAGTGTTTCAGATGGAATGCTGCGCTAATATCTTCCGCGTACCGGTCTTCAAGATGTGGAACACGTCTGAGAAATTAGACTGAGGAAATGTTAGCTTCTCAGTATTTCTAGATCAATTCTTTGTCTCAAAATCACCCTCCTAACTCACCCGGCCTGTCTGTTCTTACACTCTTTTATTCACAAAAGGCGTCCATTCGTTCATTTCGCTCTTTTCTCTATCACAAGCACACGCTACTAGGCGTTTTTGTTTGTTCGACTAAAATATTTTCCAAGGTGAACTTGAATCCTCCTTGCGCTTTTGATCGATTTATCTCTTACTTCGGTCAGATAGACGCCCACACGGCATCACTTCACTCATTTTCACAAGCACATCGAGCTCCAATATTTATCGGCGATTGTCAGCAGACAACCTTGCGTCTGAAGCAAAAAAATCCGGTCCTCCTTTTCGAAAAGAAAAAATGCAGTCACGAGCGTATTTGGTGATTTTTCTGGCGGTCGCATTAGCATTTGCCAACAATGCATCAGCGCAAGCCTATGCCCAATCTTCTGCTTCCGCTTCTGCATATTCTTCCTCTGGGATCAATGAGCCAGTGGTGATCGAGATCGAAACCCCCGAGGACCACCAGGAACCACCACATGTCAAAGACGGGAAGCACCACGACCAAGGCCCTCTCAGCCAACCTGACCACCATCCTCATCCTGTAGAAGACCAAGGAACCTCCTGGCAAGACGCCACATACGAAAGTTCCCCTTCTGGAGAAGCGTACGACTCCAGTGGTCATTACCCAACAAAAACTGCAGCGGATGAAAGTCAAGACTCTGACTCCAATGGGCCAAGCGTCGATCCGTATTCAGCACCAAGTGGCTCCTACCGGGAAAACACTCCTCATGTGAGCGGAGCTCAATACGCAACCAACATGGGTCCAGGTGAGGGCAGCTCCTACTCGCCCACTCAGTCGGATGATGGAGATCATTCAAACTCTCAACAGTAGGTCTTGCCCGTTCTTTCTCAACTTGAATCCTCGATACCAAACTGACAGCCGATCAACATAGACATGACCAGGATCATATTTCCCAGGGTAGACACGAGAAGACCTCATCTACTGGTAAAGGTGCAGCTAGCAATCTGGGCGACCAAGAAGCGAATACCGGCAGCTCGGATGATGATGATTTCATTCGTGCACCCATGTTCGAGTATCCTGATGAAGGAAAAGACGGACAAACCTTCGATGATGAAGATCCTTCCGCTAAAAATGACAGAGAAAAAGATAGTGACGATGAAATTTACCCAACCAGAACCAGTGGAACTCCAACTAGCTACTCTCGAGGTTCAGGAGGTAATGGTCACCCAGCTGGTTACCTCGGTGTTCCTACTGGCGAGCAGCCTTACTGTCAAGGACCGCTCGACCCTGAGACGGGAAAAGGTATCATCGATATCAACGGAAGATGTACAATAGGTGCGCATTTTTTGGTACCTCTGGGTTACTCGATCGGCCTCAATCGCTTATCAATCGCTGTTCATGTCCTCTCACAGTCTGTTATAACAACCTTGTCTTGAACCGAGATGGCAACAATTGTATTTGCCCTCCAAACCTACACCTTGATCACAGTCATTCCCGCTGCATCTGTCACTCGTAAGTGATACAACGATCTGTTTTTTCAATTGATACTGTTCTGATAAACTTTGTGCTACAGTCCCTATGTCCTTTCAGGAGGAAAATGTGTACTTCCACCTTCGCAAAGAGCTCAATCTAGCCATAAGAAACGATCCATGATCACTCAAATCCCGATCGGTGAGGAATTGCTACACGGGAAGTACCTTCGTACAGAAAAGGACAGGGTCAACTGTCGTAAGTTTTTAAAAAGACAAACTAAAGCAGAGCCTCCCCTTCTAGATATTTGATGCATGGGAGATAGCGAGGTCCATAAAGATCTAATTCAATTCTTTTGTTCGTCTCCAGCTGCCTCAGAGATTGCTTGCCCACTACCTTCTGGGGATTGGGAGTGTCTGGATCCAGAATTCACCCTAGACTCATGTGGCGGTTGTGTCTCAGATGGAACTGGAGTTGATTGCTGGGCACTGGAAGGAGTTCAAGGCGTAGGATGTGATGCAGGACGCTGCGTGAGTGCAAGGATCAAATATTCCTCCCTGCTTGCCATACTCTTTCAAACATGATTTTCAACTGGTGCTCGGTTACTGATCTGGTTCAACTTCTTAGCTTGTATTCTCTTGTTTATCCGACTATGAACTAGTGAATGGTAGCTGTGTACCTCGAAAGAATTGAAGCTGAAGAATTTCGCGCGAAAGTCGGATTTCGATCACTATTTGTTAGCTAGTCCTTTGACTTGAAGTGGAATATCTGTTTCTTCCTTACATACCCGAAGTCAACCGATAGTCATGGACTCTCTTCCTCCAAACCTTTTCCTACTTAAATGAAAACTTGAGGGGCTAATTTGCATCTTTTCTATTTTTTTATATCGTCCGACTTGTACATTCGTTCAATACTATCTTTGTTATTCGTTTGGATCGTGTTTCATTCTCCATGAAAGCTTGAACACCAAGATGTGAAATATCAAGGGCTTTTTTTCTTGAAACATGCAAGCCGACCTGGACCATCCAAGATCGCTCTATCTTTCAGTACTTGTGTTCCAGTTGCCAAGATTCGCAAGTCAAATCAATTATGGCTTGCCAAGATGCGTCCAAACGCTGCATTTTTCACTTAACATTTAAAATCATACAATGAATGGAGGGGTTTAGGATGAAGAATAATTCAACATTCTCTTAAATCACTCTGCCCTCTATAATGGTAGATCACGGTTGAATCATATTTATGAAGAATCCACAACATTCCTTATAAGATTCAAATGTTTTCTTATATCTTTATTCAGCTCATACCTTCAGTCAGTTTTATTAGTTCATACAAAATACCCACAATGTTTATATTTTGGTGACTGGCCAATAGGCCTATTTCTATTTTGGGGTTGTGTTTCTCTCTCTCTCTCTGTGCCTCAGGATAGATTGATATTTGCATGTAGACCTGAGCATGAAATACCTTGTGTTTGTGATTCTTGTCTTTGGTAAAAAGAATTGGTGCACAATTTCTTAGGTCAAGTGATCTGAAGATTATTTGAATGCTTCAATAGAAAAATCAAATTAGATTAAAGTAGTCTATAGCTGAATCTTGACTAGTACATGATCAGTGGCAGGTACTGCACTCATCAACTTATAACTTATACCTCACAGGATCTCTACTGAGTGATTTGAAAGATTTCCTTGATGACGTGTTTGCCAATGAGAAAATGTAGATGTCAATTATTTTGTGTATCAGTTCATTGGTTTTGAGAATAAGCTTAGGCCGCGTTTACTTAAGCCGCATTCTCAGAAAGTGCATTCTGTGCCAGCGCTTTTCTACATGTAGAAAAGTGTTTTTTTTAAAAAAAAATGAAAATCAACGAAAATTGACGTTTTGTGAAAAATTGTCAAAAATGAGGTCAAGAAGCGTTCAATAATGAGACAAATAAGGAACAGTTTTCAGCAATTGATCACGTTGATAATTCACTTTTGATCACCTTTGAGATCAAAGGTGATGTTGCCTATGACTCCACCCCCAATTAAATTAAAGATCCCAAGATGTCCTTGAGTTCATCTGATTCGACCTCCACAGGATCATCAAAATCCTTTCGAACCGCAATTGACCTTCTCAAGGTGATTATCAAAGCCGGAACAGACTATCTAGCCTCAATAACCACCCAGAGAATCCCCTGTCAAACATCAAAGTTGAGAGGAAATGAGTATACGAAAGAAATCTTAGAGGGAAGCGACGTACGGTTTTTAGAGCTATGTCAAATGGACAAGCTCGCTTTCAAGGGCTTGATTAAAGCCCTTGATGGCAAGCTTGTCCGCCATCGTAAACAAAGCGTCACCATCGAAGAGCAGGTGATGATTTTCCTATTTATTGTTGGAAACTCGGGTACCAATTGATTGGCCTGCGAGCGTTTCCAACAATCTGGACATACAATCAGCCTTTATTTTAACAACGTATGCCATGCAATAGCCTCATTAGAATCAATTTACATAGTCCAACCTACCGGAGGGGAGATCTGCCCGAAAGAAATTCAAAACAATCCTCAATTTACGCCGTATTTTGACGACCGTGTGGGTGCTATCAATGGCACCCACATCTCCTGCATAGTTCCACAGGACCGTAAACAGGCTCATCAAAACCGAAAGGGTCTCCTTTTGCAAAATGTTTTAGCTGGGTGCTCATTCAATATGATGTTCACTTTTGTATATGCCGGTTTGGAAGGATCACACACTGATGCGCGTGTCCTGCACCAAGCACTCGAAGAACAACGCTTTGTTGTTCCTCAAGGTATGTTATTCTCTCTTGTCTTTCCATTGAAATATTACTTATTGAGCTTTTTCTTGTCCAGGTCGATTCTATGTTGCGGGTGCTGGATACGCTAATGTACCCGGCTTCTTGACTCCATATTGATCTGTAAGATACCACCTTCAAGAATGGAAACATTCTAATTTAACACCTCAAACCCCAAAGGAACCTTATAATCACCGCCATTTGGCCCTCCGAATTGTGATTGAGCGTATATTTGGGGTCTCGAAAATGTGATTCCCGATATTGGCGATGATGCCCTCTGATCCATATAAAACGCAAGTGATGATAGTTATTGCATGCTGTGTATTGAACAACATCATACGAATCGAATCTGGCCAAGACGAATTCTTTGATGAATACATGTTGAAAGAGCGACTGGAACATAGAATGGCTGCTGATAATGGTGAACAAGAATGGGTTGAGCCAAACCCCACCCAACGTACCCAGGCATCCGAGCAAAGGGATCTTATTGCTGAGCAAATGTTTGAAGACTACACCAACACACCGGTGGCACGTAGGCGAGTTTAGATGGATTCAGATGAAATTTTGTACTCACTTCACTTTTGTTTTCATTTCAATTTGTATTTGTACTTGTATTTGTATCATCATCAAGAGCAAAAGATCAAATTCAATTACTTCAAAGCAAAACACAAATTCTTATTGACTGTAATATATAATATACATATTTTTTTTGTTTGAGCTCGATACAAAATTATCAGATTGAAATAATATGTATTTTATTTTTTAATGATAAGAGAAAAAGAATTCAAATAAAACACATAAGAATGATAATATCTTGAGTTGATGAATATGATTCATTGTTGCTCATCTCAATCCTCCTCTTGAATGTCTTGATACTCATGTAACACATTAGCTTCATCCTTCAACCAATTCCATTGATGAGCTGAATCCATGTAGTAGAAGAATGAAGCACTATCGTCCTTCTTTAACTCGTTTGCTACTTTAATGATATGTTGAGGCTTGAGGTTTTTGCTGCATTCTTTGTTGAAGATTGCCATCGCCTCTTGTCGCATCGGATGCTGTTTGGTTTTGATTTTAGCAACAGCAACCTTGTCACTATCATTTTTTTCCTCCAGACTGGTCACTCGATCAACAGCTTTGCTGATTGATTCAGCAACAAGCTTGGGTCCTCTAATTCGGGATTGTTTTTCAGTTGAAGTTGAGGCCCCAACCGGGCTCCTTTTGCTGCGTACAAACTTTCTTTCAGGGGTGTTGTCATCGCTATTGGGGTCAAGAGCCATCTCGGCTGCTGTGAGGTGATATTTGTTTTTGATTCGAGACTAGATCAAAAGAAGATCAAGTTGATAGGATAAGATGTCTTAAAATGAATCAATGAAATTAAATGAGAGACTTACTACGGGCGTCTTCTTTTGTGAAGAAGCTACTTTCTTTCCTTTGATGTCATCATGGTCTGATTCCTTTGGTGAATTGGAAGCGTGCGTTGGAGATCCATCTGATCGATCTCGAGGGGAGCCATTATCAGATAAGATATGAGCTATCAATTAAGAAGGAAAGGTCAAACCCCGTGTTGATCACATTCAAATCAAAGGAAATAAGATAAAAGAAATGATCAAATAAGGAAATAAGATAAAAGAAATGATCAAATACCTTCTTGATCCTTGTCTGAATCATCTGGTAAAGGGAGTGTGATTGCTTTCTTCTTCTTGCTTTGAGTGCCAAATCCCTCGTTACCATTGGCTCGTAATTGTTTATTGGGCATGATACTCAACATATCTTGATATGCTGCAAATCTGTTGTTTCAGATTGGTTTTGCATCCTTGTTACCAGACTACATATGATCAAATGTTAGATTGAGATGATGAAACTATAATTGTTTGAAATAATGATATTAAGATTGAAAGTACCATCACTATCCATTGATTCCACCAATCCTTATCAGCATGAACTTCTCCTGTGACGATATCGACTCCAGGAGCGCCGGAAGAGTCCATGATCTTAACAAACGCCTTGAAAGTAGTCTTTAACTACAAAGAAACCATCAGTCAGTCGAATTGGAAATGAGTTAAATGATGAGAGTTCAAACCTTCTGAATGTGATTCTTCAATCGAGACAAAGGCTCCTTGACTTTGTATTTTGAATTGTAATTGTTCAAGACAAGTTTCCATCCTTCGCTCTTAAGACCACCGTCGTTACCTTTCCCGAGCTCCATTTGATGTTTGACTTCTTCAGTAACATATAAAGTATTGGCATGATTCCATTGACCGCCACTGGCTGTTTGTTCTTCTGCGGCCTTATTTTCTTTTACTTTGATTGGTTTCAATTTCAATTTCAACTTTTCTTTTGATGAATTAACAATCAATACTGCTTCATCGTCACTGTTATCTTCATTAGGCATGATGGATGAAGGTGTTGGTTGATGATAAAAGGTGGTGGTTGATGATTCCGTACGGTGAAGACGGACTTGTCCAAATTTGAGACAAAGAAAGAAATCACAGAATGTGATTTTTGTTGACAGGAATGCGCTACAAGCAAATTCTCAGAATGTCCCAAGAAATTGCTTTTTATAAGCATTCTGTACTTTACAGAATGCTTGTAAATAAAATATCAAACGCATTTCACAGAATGTGATTTCTGTGAATTACATAATGCGATTTCTAGTCAGAATTCGCTTAAGTAAACGCGGCCTTAGTGATGAGTATTGATACCACAGAAGCAATGTTGGTGAGGGACTGTGGTTGAATAGTATCAGAGATTATCAGGTATTGGAATGGGAGTTTGACATTGAGATGAACATGGGTTGAGATTGTAAGACTGACACTGCCAAAATGTATACCTCAGATTGAAAAATCCAAGGTAGGATCTTAATCCTTGAATAAATCTTTCACCAAGGTTTCTCTCCAACATTTTGGTATGCACCAAAAAATACCTTGGATCAAAATATTGGATAAACCATGTCTGAGGTTTGTAAATATGTTAGAAGAGTGACATCTTATAAGTTTCTGGACATGCAAATCTTTGATCTTGGAGTACTAATTGGGAGTTTAGTCGAGTTTTCAGGAAGCACAGTTTGCCTTCAACTTATAAAGCATCATGTTAGCTCCATGTGGGTAGACTCTGAAAAACAGTAAGGGCCTTATTTGGATCCCAATGGGAATGTATGTCCAGGTTTAAACCTCATACATTGGTATGATGGCAAATGATTATGGCAGTTCACCATCCACGATTTGTCCTACACTTTGGAAAAAACACCACACCCAAGATTTGATCAACCTTGTTCCTTGGAAGGTATGATGCTCAAAATATTCCAAGGATTGATTGAACACTATTAAATTCAGTTTGGTGGCTGGACTTGCACCTTACCAGCCTATCTTAGTAAGCCAACAAGAGTCCACTTCTACACACTCTTTGAGCTTGTGTAGTTTTGAAGCTACACAACATCTGATGGTATAAAAACAAATTTGGTTTCCATTTGGGGAAGTAGGGGGACTGATAGGGGTGAACAAAGCCCCACACCAAAGTAAACAGTTTTGGTGTCCCGCTGGCTCACCAAGCCTGGTCAGTAACATGAAAGTCCCTCCATCAAACATGTGAGATTGCAAGGATTAAGTGTCCTCCTGGAGTGGAATTAGTCAAGCTGGGGTTAATGGTGTTATAAATCACTATCTTGTATGCCTTTGACACTCCACTCAACATCTCTTCCTGGATCTCTACCTCAAATGAGTTTGAGTAGAACACAAGACAGTTGCTGATGCTGGGAGAAAAATCTTGATGATTATTGCCAGTGTGACATCAAAGGTCATGTGGTAATACAGCTTGTGATGGTGACAAACAAGAATGATGTTTGGCTTTGATCTACATGAGTCTACAGATGGTTTTTTGATCCACACCAGATTTTAGTAACTTGATAATATAGTTATTAAGAAAGGATCTTTCTTTGGTGTCTTCTTACTTCCTTTGAAAGTACATACTTTGGAGAGAACCTATGTACAAGTGTGACAGAAATTTTGGGTGAAAGAGAAATATGCACAAAGGTCTAGTGAAACTGATCTTGTTATCTTGCAAGATTTAAGCTATTGGAATGATTATGCTACAGATTTACTTCATCATCATGTGCTCATTGGTACCCCCAAAATGTTTTTGTCCTTTGGCAAACAGATGGAATCCTTGAATTTCACCTGAAAATTCATCAATTGGGGACCAAAACACTAGTCCAAATCTCTTCAGTGAACACAGCCAATGGTTTGTTTTAAAGGCATGATTGTATTGGTTTTGCAACTTCACATCATAATACTTGAGTTCACTGGCTTTTAAATCATACCAATCCCACAAGAACAGGCGCCTACCAAATTTATCAGTTCACTTGACAAGAACAGGTCCCAATGAATCAGCTTCACAAGCACTCCATTCTGATGTGGAAAAAATGCCATATATCTTGGTTGTTTACCAACATTGCCTGAAACACAGAAATGGGTGAATAGGCATAAAGATTTCAAAGTCCTCAAAGATGAATGAGTAATCATGATAATCTGGTTGTATATAGCAATCAACATTACAACATATATATCAGTTATCCTGAATTTGACATACATTCAAGGTTAGGTGAAAGTGAAACCAGGTTCAATATTATTTCCCCCAGGGTGATGTCATCAGCATTTATTCATCAAATCTGTAGCTGTAGAACTAAACCACAAAGTAATTCCATACCACATTTTGTCAAGCACAGACCACTGTATGGTAAAATTGGCTAGCAGCTGTTTCAGGAACCTATAGAATTTCTCCAAGCAAGCTTTGTATACTACCAATCCTGTCAGAACAGTATCTAATCAAGCAAACCTCTTTGTTCCTCCCCATACCTGGCCCATCCACCCCATGTAGGTCAAGCACCAATGTATCAATGGTAAAGAGATCCCAAAAAAATCAACCAATACCTGGCCAGACCATCATCTTTGGACCATAAACCAATCAGTACAGTTGAACTGTATCCATCATCCGGCCAAACACTAAACTTTTGACCAATTACGGTGTTCAAACTTCAAAATTAATTTGTGCAAGTTTGCAAGATATGAATAGAACTTGAACAGATCTTGCACAAAACTTGCAAGTTGGTCTTGCATGGTTTTTGCACGCTTTGCAACACACAACTTGGGTTGTCAAAAAAAATTGATGTGCAAGATTAGTGCAAAACATTTTGCACAGATCTTGCACAGATCTTGCACAGATCTTGCACGCTGGTGTTGCACAGTTCTTGCACAGGCTTGAACACCATAAATGTTTAGTCAAACAAATTGTGACTCAGCCACTTTTACAGTGAGTACTTATACAACTCAACAAAACCTTCACTGTGTGCCAGTGGTCAAGTTCAGTGGAATATACATACACACAGTAGACCTACAAGTTCCAACAAACCCTACTTTAAATTTTACCTAGTTGTTTTCAAACAGTCAATCTGTCTATCAAGTTGAGATTTCTCGACAACCCAAAGCCAAAAAAGTCAACTGGTTCAACAGAGTCTACTTGAGTGACTTTCATTCAGAAAACCCATCTTACCAATTACCAAACCAAAGACCCCTTCTTCTTCAAAATACCCTCCAAGTATATCTGATCAACTAATACTTCTTTCAAAAAATCAACCCATTCTAAGGGCCTGTTCACTTAAGCAATTTCTGCTAAGAAACCACATTCCGCAAAATATAAAGTGTCTATTTGGCAGTGCATGTTTCATTGTTTGCATTAATTTTTTTTCCAGAATATGATTTCTGGTCAGAATTTCCTTAAGTGAACATGCCCTGAATGATCATTCAAATCAACACCTCCAAATGATGATCATTCAACTATCTACCATATGTACATCTTTTAATTATCTTTCTTAAGCAGATCTATCTTATTCTAAAAATGTCCATAAGTTTTAAAACCAAACCCGATTTGATGACCCTAAAATAAACTAAAATCCAACCAAACTTCCACAAATCTTCAATCCCACCAACCTCTTTCAACCATATCCCCTCAACCCCTCACCCAACCCAACCCTTCTTAACCCAAAAAACCTCATCTATTTCCTCTGAGCCCCATTCCCTAATCCTAAAACCTTTCTAACCAAATCCAATTCCCCATTCCCATTCTTCTCATTCTTCTGATCCCCAAACCCAATTTCCTGCAAAACTCTTTTCACCAAAGATTTCCAATCCTCAATACTACCTAAATGTTCTTCTAACCATTTCCAATACTCGACTTCATTCCAACCCAAAACCCTTTGAACCTGTACAGATGCTCTACTCAGTAAATGTTGCAGAACAATCATTTTCCTAAACTCTTCATCCTCCTCCTCTTTTCCTTCTCCATTCGATCCGATTTCTTTTTCCAATTCCCCAATCTCAAACATAAAAATAACCCGTTTAAACTCTCTCAAATCACGTAACATACCCACCAAGCCTACCAAATCTCTTCCAAACCTTACTTCATCCTCTTCAATCCATTGAGTCAAACCAATCTCAAGTTCAGAAACTTCTGAAATCAATCCCAACCTACTCTTCTCATCTCTTCCATCCCTTAATGAAAGATGAAACAATCCACACCTGATTGTGTAGGAAACGATTTGATAAATAAAAACTTCTGATTTCATTTCATGTCCGATTTCGCTTTTCATTCGACTTATTCTTTCCATCAGATCTGATAAATAACTGTCGGGTTTGGTACGAGACTGTTTCGAGTTCGAATGCATTCTTCCAACCAAGACTGAGATCTCTCGTTTGATCAATCTGATCATCGGATCGATTATCTCTTTTTGAGTGGCTTCTGCTCGGTTCACCATTGTTTGTAACGTCTGGGATATCTCTGGGTTCGTGCTTTCGTACTCGTTCATCACTTGGTTTAGTGTTTCGATCAGATTCGATATCAGATTTGAGCTTTCGATATTCAAAGACTTTGAACCGTTCAAAAGGTTCGAACCTAATCCCATCACAGAATACTGATCACGATCAATCTACCCACAAAAAAAAGCAAAACCATCATCAATCCAAAAACCCCAAAATCGAAATCCAAAAAAAGCCACGAAGAAAAAAGCCTCAACTCGATCCGAAATCCTAATCAAATACTCATCCAAAACCTCCTTCAAATTCTTAACTACCAATCGAATCAACAAAGGATCAAACCTAGCCACATCCAACTCATTCAAAACGACCGGTCCAAACCTTTCATCGCTCTTCAAAACCTTCAAACCTTCCATCATCCTTTGCTTAGATCTTTCAAGATAAACCGTTTCGAAAGCCGAGATTGATCGAAGCATTAGAATCGTTTCGGGTGATTGAGTTGATGAGCTATAAGTTGTGTGGGTGTGGAGTGAGATTCGGGAAAAGAAGTCGTGCAGGAGTCGTAGGAGTTTTGGATACGAACTTGTGAGAGTTTGGTTAATAAAATTCGAACCTAAACAAAATCTAATTTATCAGTTTCTCAAACTCGGTTCTTGACTTTGGTGGGGCTTTTGTTGCAGAACTGACCTCTACATGCTTCTCTAGACTCTTTTTCTAAAGCCACACAAACCGTTCTCCAAAAAACAGTCCTGGGCAACACCCCATCCAATCCACCATCCTTCTCAACCACCTCATCCAAAAAACTTTTTACTTGAAGTGACATTGTCGAAGAAGTTTTTTTCCATTCCAAAACTTTTTCTAATGTGTAAACTTTTATACAAGTTGAAGTGAGATCGTCAATTAATGATTCTAGTCTTGTCCATAAACAGGTTGTCCATGATGAATGGTTCGATAAAGTAGGTTCGGTACGTGATCTTGATTTGTATACGAAACTAGAAGAGTGTGTCTGATCTGTCCCCCCAAAACAAAAAAAAAGGTGATCAGAATGGGATTAGTCATTTAGAAATGAGAGAGAAAATGGTACCTTGTAGATTAGATTGTTTGGATAAAGAGTTGAGGTCGAAAGTTGATTTGATTTTGGAATGGATAGATTGGGTAAGGGTTTGGATGAGTAAAGTAATAGATTCAGGTAAGATTGAAAGATTGTAAGCGGTCTGAAAAGATGTGGAAAGTAAAGTCTTGTCTAGTTGAAGTAATCCTTTGTTTAAGATTTGGGTCATTTGTGATTGAAGGCTTTCACGAGTGGATTGGATTGGATTTAAATGGTGTTGAATAGCTTTGAATGTGTTGATCGAATGGGATAGGTACTGATTATTAGGATTGATAAGGCTTTCTATTTCTGATAAAGTTAAAGTGGATTCGATTAGATTTGATGGTTCGGAAGAATTGATGAGTTGTGTATCTAGTCGTTTTTTTAGTTGGATAAACTTTAAGATAGATTTAGTTTTGATAAGTAAAGATTGAAACCGATCCAAGTTTGTTAAGTTTAATGAGAGGTGTTGATATTTTGTTGAGATCTTGGATTGGAGTTTGATTAGATTATTGTCGATTTGATGGAGTGATGATTTAATAGAAACTAAATGATGGTCTAAGTTAATGATCGAATGTGATTTGATGAGTAAGTTTAAATGGTTTGATGAGATTGTATTTCTGATTTGTTTGTTAATCTCATCGATTGCAATGTTTAATTTTTGAAGTGATAAGTTTAGATATGGTACACTATTGGGATTGTTGTTAGTAGTGGTAGTGGATGAGAGTGAGGTGAGGGATGATGATAAGAATTCATCGAAAACTGAATGGTGATTGAAGATTAGAGAATTCGAAAATGATTGTGGATCGAATGAAGCGGTCAAGAAGAATTCATAATCTTTGGAACTCAGTATCGATCTCTTCTGATTATCATTCATCTTTGACTACTGGAACTCTAAACTAGAACTAGAACTATTGCGATGATGATATCAGGAAAGACCAATGAAATCACCCAGGCTGGGGAGAACGAGGAGCCCCAACCCGAAAAACGCGGGTAATGGCCTATCCGCACCCCGAGCCAATATCTAATGAGCCCTCCCGCGCACGAAACCTACCCCGACGCGATTAAGCCCCGGCTAAAACCCGCGGATAACATCGGGGGCTTGAGGACTGGCAGCCCCCGCCCCCGAACTCCGCACCCCGAGGGCTCGGAGCTCGGGAAACCCTCCGGGAACACCCGGCCTTCGGGAGATTACTGGCACTACTGCCAGTGCCATTTTTTTCCCCCTCCCCCCAATATTTCACCTAGCCGTGAAAACCCCCCCACGTCATTTCACACAGTACTTCACCTGCCCCACATTTGCCCTGAAACCCCATGCCATCTTTCACGGCGTATTGAAACCTCAGGTAACACATGAGAGATACACACTTCACGCTTCCCTCAACTCTCCACCCCCCTTGTATCACCACTTCACATTCTTCACAAAATGGATTCAAGCTTCATCAAACCTGAGTTCAAACGTTTGCCTCCCAGCGCACCACTTCCCCAGCCGGTCTTGAAAGGTCTAGTTGGCATAGCATGCCCTGCTTGTGACAACATCAAGAAGACAACCCCTTTGAAGTATATCAACAGGTTACCCAACGCGTGGAAAGTTGCTGTGAGTGAATCTATCTTTTCTATCACCTTATTAGAAAACCAAACTGATCCATCCATCTTTCCCAACTGTGCATATTCAGTGCAGCATCCTGCCGCCGCGGGGACAGCATGCTGTGCGCAAGAATGGGACTACGGATTCGCCGTCGTTACGGGGAAACCCACGTATGGTTTGAACGTGTGATGATTTCGGCGGCCAGAACGGAAAACTGGATGAGGTCACGAAGTGAAAGCGTTGAGTGAAGCTCTGGAAACTGTTCAGCCAGATGGTCCATGAATTGTCGGAGTAGCATATTGTTATGTTGTGGTTTGTTTGAGTTGAAGAAATTGATTTTGTTAAGTTTAGGATGGATGGAGGATTTTGGTGCGGTTTTGGTGAAATGTGATGTTGAATATCACCATCTGTGTAGTGGGTATGTCAGGTGAGTGAACATTGTACAAGGTTCCACTCGGGAAAGGGGACACAAGCCATACTTTCATGGGCTTTGAGTGACTGGCAGTGCCAGTGCCAGTGCCAGTTGGCGGCTGCCAGCGATCTCCCAAAGGCCGCTTCATCCGAACCCTCCGAACGTCGGCTTCGGGGCCGCTGGGATGGCATGTCCAACCCGAATCCGATGATCAGTCAACTATCCGATATCTGAACTTACAACTCAACATTCTCATCTGACTTGATTGACCAAACCAACTGAACCACTACTTACAAATCAAATCATGAAATACTCAGTACCAGAAACATCAGACGAAGAAGAAGAAGAAGAAACCATTCCAAAACCAAAACCAAATCAAAAACAAAAATCAAAATCAAAATCAAAATCACACAAACTACATTCTTCTACTACAACTTCGATCCCACGACCATCATCATCAAACACATCAAACCAATACAAGTTAAGTAACCCAACCACAACCCAACTCTAAACCAGAAAACTAATCATTCCATTTAAAATATGATATCTTATAGTGGTCCGTTTTGTAAACCATTATCAGTTCAACTTAATCAATCCACTCCTTCTCCATTTGCCAACCCACCCAACCTATCCAAATCGATCTATTCATCACCACTGAAATCTTCAAGCAGATCATCACACCATCGGATCCAAAACATATCCACTTCATCATCTGAGGAAGAAGAAGAAGACGGAGAAGAAGAAGATAGTGAAGAAGAGAAATGGCCGATTCGTAAACAAGATCCGTCTAGATATCAGTCAACAAGTTATCTTGTGCCTGATCATGATAGTTTACAAGTATGGGATCAAGAAGGAAGACGATCAACTTATTTGATATCGATGAAAAAGACATCCGAAAGAAGAAAACAGTTTGAAGAGATCCATCATAAGACGATCCAACGGGTAAATGAACGTCAAGAAGCAGTGTATGAAGAACAGATGAATGAGTTGAGTAAAGTCTTGGAACAAATCGAGTTGGATCAGTCTAGAGAGATACGTACTATAAAGGAAGGATTCGAAAGAAGAGAAAGAGATCGGTTAAAGGTTTTTGATGAATTGATTAGGAAAGCAGAAGAGATTGAAAAAGAAGAAACTCTTAGGGTTTTTAAGATTAAACAGGAAGAAGCAGAGAAGAAAGCTCGAGAAGAAAGACAAGCTGAGGAAGAAAGAAACCGATCTGAAGTACAGGCTAGGTTGGAAAAAGATCAACTTAGACTGAAAAACGAACTCGAGTTGAGGAAAAAAGAGGTGATGGAAAAGAAACGGATTGAGAAAGATTTAGAGGATTCATTGGATCGGAATCAGAAGGATTCGTTGAAAGAGAATTATATGAAATGGTACAGAGTTATTGAACAGATCAAACAAACTGTACTGCCGAATGTGTCTTCCAACGAATCATTCAAAACGATCTGTAGACAAGCCAAAAGAAAGATCACACTTAAAGTAGGACAACTAACAAATTCATCTAAACAAATTCAAAAAGTCGTAAGTTTTTGATCTACCTGAATCTTTGGAAAAATAAATGATTGGTTGATTAGAGTTTTGGAATAGATTATCGAATTAGGTGAAGTACTTCAACAAACCAAACAATCTGATTTGAACGTCTACATTTGGGCATGTAATCATCTCTCCAAAGCTCTCATCAAACAATCCGAAACAGAAGTAACAGCCAAACCAAGTACAGTCTATCCATTATCGAGAGTAGTGATCGGATTAATTTTAATAGGATATCCTGAACTAGGACAAGTGATGATGGCCAGAATCGTAAAGAAATGTTATTTTGTAACATCTCATCGACCGATTAAATTCGAGACTGAATCAGATGAATTGTATGGCAAACGATTAGGGTATTTGGTTGGAGGTGGAAGGAAGAATGATGAAGGACTCGTTCAGTATTCTAATCGGATCTCGGGAATCTTTTCACTTTATTGTGGGATTTGTCAAGTGGATATAAATGATATTGTACCTTCATTAAAGAACCAAATCCCTTCATCTAAACTCTCACAAATCGATTCGTGTTTTAAAGTATCAAGTTTATGGAGTTTATTAGTCAACTTGATCAAATCCGATTTGGCTAATAGTTTGGTCTTACCTAAGTTAATTTCATGTTTGATTGAAGTTTCGTACCAAAGAATGTGGGAAGTTTATGGAACTCAATGGTTGAAGGTCTTGAGAGTTTTGTTGGTGGAGGGGATTAGGAAGAACAAATGGACGGTTTCGAAGGAGGCGGGCGTTAAGGCTTCGTTGGTTCAGTTGGAGTCTATTCTCGAAGACCTTTTGGAACGTGGCATCTTGCCGGCTTGTGAGGGTAGATTGTATGAAGATTGATTTCTTTTTGTGTAAGGCTTGCAAAGGATACTTGTGAATTTTGGGAGTGCAGTGCAGTGGAGATTAGTTTGGTTTGGGAAGGTGGTGAAAAAGATGAAAGGGTTGGGTTTTTTTGGGTGGGTTTCTTGAATGATTTGGTTTCTTGGATTTGAATGAGAGATTGATTTGGTTTGGTTTACTTGAAATTTGTTATTGGTTAATTTTTTTAATTTATTGTGTGTTTTTTTGTGTTTTTTATCATGAATTAGTTTTTTAATTTATTTTTTAGCCCCAACCCCCCTTCAAAAAGAAAAAAGATGAAAAGATAACAAAATGGTTTGGATTATGTACAACTAATATTTACTTAAAGCCAAAAAAAGAGGATGAAAAGAGGCAGCGATGAATGTTTGGTGTTTTTTATGAGGGTTTGAAGAAGTTGAAGTATAAATCAAAGAGATATGGGAGGATATGGGTCTAAGTTTGGATAAGAGGTCTGGAGTTTTTTTGGACAAAGTAAAGAGGTCTTTGGATTTACTTTCTAAAACATTGGACTGTTGTGATCAAACCTTATGTGGTATACAGCTGAGTTGAGAATGATTGGCTTTTTGGTTGGTTTGAGAAATCATATTATGTTTCAAAACTTGATTTTCTTCTTTACTGAAGTTTTGGTTTTTTTACTAATTTTGAGAATACAGCCATTCCGATATTGCTTGTTGCTCCATTTTGGAAAAGAAAAAGTGAAACCTAAGTTTTTACTCAATAAAACTTCAAAGTTGACTGTAATTGAAGGTGATACAGCCAAATTTCAGGTTTTAACCAGTTAAAACTTAGGTTTCAAGCTCACAAACTCTTTCTTTTTCCAAAAGAGGTGCGACAAGCAATATTGGAATGGCTGTATCTAAATACAAAAAATTCAAAACTTTGAAGAATGATTTTTTTGTTTGGGTTTGAACAGTATGGTAATACTTTGTAATACTATCACAATTTCTTTGGAAGAATGAGTCAATTGTTTTCTAATTGGTAGTATAAATGGGTAAAGGAAGTAGCTCTTGTTAGTTTACTTTGTTGGAGGTAATTTGTTGTTGTGCTGGTACAAGCCCTGATCTTTGTTAACCTGACATGATGAGGCTCACAAGAGCCCTGTGGGTGCCCCAGAAGCCCCGGCCTGTTGGGTACCCTGGTATAAAAAAACTGTGGTTAAAGGTCAAACAAGGTTGACACTTTACCCCACCAGATTCCTTTTTTCCTCATGTGAAAAGGTGAAACTTAAGAATGAACCACTAATTGGCACTTTGAAAGTACATTACAACTTAACCATCCATCATGCCCCACTCTTCCCACATCTGGTACTCCTGCTACCCTCTTTTCTGGACTTTCCTCTGCTACCAATGCCAGTATTACTCTGTCATATTCTTTTTTCAAGTATGTTTCCAACACCATGGCTACTGGTCAATTGTTGTGGGTTTGGCAATACTTTGCCCAGCAAAAAATTGATGGTATGTTGAACAATGTGTGCACTGCTAGGGAAGGTTTTGTTGATTTGATTTCTGCTGGTGTTGAAGATTCCAATGCCCCACTTGCACTCTGCAACCAACAAATGGCAATCACTAAGCACACCAGCACTAAGTTGATGATCTGTCATCTGTTGAGATGTCATCATATCAAGCTACCTGTCAATACCAGTCAACATACAATGACTGCGTACTTTATTGACAGGAAAATGGCCAATCTAAGAATTTCCACTTTTTGTCTGTTTGTTGATTTGTTTTTGTTTAGTCTGTTTGTTGATTTCTGTTTGTATGTTTTTTTTTCATTTTATTAGACCAAAACCCTCAATTGAGGTAATCTCAAGATAGCCCTCATTTGACTCATTTTGCACCAAGAGCTCACAATATCCCTAGTTCACAGGGGCAAAAATTGATGCTCACAACTATGTGAGCGTTGAAATTTTCCTGTTTTGTTCCCATTTGTTTCCCATTTGTTTCCCATTTGTTTCCCTTTTCTTTCTGTTTGTCAGCTGATTACGTGATCATCAGGAACTGAGCAGACAAACTAAGCCTTCCTCAGCATTTATTCCTGAGCAAAGAAGTCTGAGGAAGGGCTGATCCATCTGCTCAGCTGATCCTGAGCGGCATTCCCTGGTTCAGTAAGCTCCAAGGGATGCCACCAATGTATAGCTTAGGGGCTGAGCTGAACTGAGTATTCCCTTAGCTAAGTCTCGTATCCCCCAGATGGATCACAGAGCGCCAAGCTTGCCTCAAGCTTGATGGCTCCGGAATGAAGCCTGAGGCCCGTCTGCTCGTTCAACTGAGCTGCTCAGTTATTCCTCAGGGGCATCCCTGAGATCAGGAGGATCCGGAGGATTTCACTGCTCATTGGATGAGGGGCTGCTCAGTTATTCCTCAGGGGCATCCCTGAGATCAGGAGGATCCGGAGAATTTCACTGCTCATTGGATGAGGGGCTGCTCAGTTATTCCTCAGGGGCATCCCTGAGATCAGGAGGATCCGGAGGATTTCACTGCTCATTGGATGAGGGGCTGCTCAGTTATTCCTCAGGGGCATCTCTGAGATCAGGAGGATCCGGAGGATTTCACTGCTCATTGGATGAGGGCCTGCTCAGATAGTCCTCAGGGGCATTCCTGGCCGGATCAGAAGGATCCAAAGGATGTCACTGAGTATTGGCTGAGGGGCTGCTCAGTTGATCTCAGCCCCTCAGTGTGAAAAACTTTATCCGGGGATATCACTGAGGATTAGCTGAGCAATGAGCAGATGGGATGACGCTTTTATCAGGCTTCATTCCTTAGCAAGGAAGTCTGAGAAAAGTCCGGCCCATCAGTGATCCAGTCAGGGGATGCTACTGAGTATTTGCTGAGCAGCTCAAATGGGACGCCCCTGGGCAGGCTTCTTCACTGAAAAATGAAGCCTCAGGAAGGTATAGTTCATGTGCTCATCTTCATTTTGAACAAATTGCTGAGTATTCAGTGCCTCATGAGCTGATCCTGAGTACTCATCGGGAATCAGTTATTGCTCATCCAAGATGGAAATGAGCCTTCTCAATAAATGTCAAGTAAAATATGAGAACCACAGGATGATCACCTGAGCACAAACAAGATTGTGAATTGAATCAATCTGAAAGAAAATGAATCTTTTTTGGAGAATTCCAAAAAGTCTACAACGCTCACATGTATGTGAGTATCTATTTTGGCCCCTGTGAGTTGATGCCAAGGAATTCTGCAAGCTCATGACCATGGTCAACCCTCAATCCCTTTGCCTTCTTTCCAAACAAACTTTTATATCCAATGAAATTGTTGAACAGTTTTGATCCACCCAAAATGCTATTGCCAGTCTTAGTTCTATTTGTCATATCAGCATTACTTTTGATGGGTGGACGGCTCCCAGAAATGTTGCAATGTTGGTGTTACAGCCCATTGGATATTGGCAGACTTCAAGATGCACAGAATCACCCTTGCTCTCAAAACCATTGGTGGTCCAATTTGATTCCACATTTCAACACCTCTGAAAACTTACATGGTTGTGTTGCTCATGTAATTAACCTTGTTGCCAAAGCTGGATTAGCTGTATTTGATCCCCAATCTATTCCTCCCCTGGTAAATGCTCTTGATCCAACCATACCTCAACCCTTCTGGTGTACCCCTTTTCATCAAACCTACTCCACATGCCAACATCAGTAGCACTCTGACTTGCATCCGTGGCTTCCACACAAAAGTTAAACACTCCAGCCAGGTCAAGATTTCTCTAGACAATGCTATTGCTAGCTTTCAGAAGTTGGATCGCAAGATTGGCTTGATTCACAAAGTCTCAAACCGCTGGTCTTCAACCCACACCTTGCTCAAACCTTTTTACAAACTTAACCAAGTGATCAAGTATCAATGTGAGGGAGATCCTTCACTTGAACAATCCACACTCAACAATGACAAGTGGGACCTTGTATCAAGTATATTGTACATTTTCTTGCTCTGCTGGCTGTGGTCACAAATTCAATCAAGGGTCACAAGTACCCCACCTTCTCCCAGGTGATGCCCAATTATCAATACCTTGTAGAGTGTCTTGAAAAGGTAAGATTTTTTATCTTGATTTCTTTTTTTATCTTTTACTTTTTCATTGATTGTTTATACACACCTTATTATCTGAGCCTGACACAACTCTACCTGCAAGGATTTGAAGGTAGCAGTCCTTCTGATGTTACAAAAGATTATTCAATATCAATCCGCTTCTCAGACCAAGGTGGTCTACATCTGGTTGGTGATCCTTGATCCTTGCCTCAAGATCAACAACTTGGTGGATCACTTCACCACCCAAGCCTGCAAGTTTTGACCAGTCTATGATCTCAATACCAAAATTGTTGAACTCAAAGACAAAGGAATCAACCCTGATCACCCTCAACCCTTCATCAAGTGCTGCAAGACTGTTCCAGTTGAGGAAAAGGTAAAATAATACCTCACCACACCTCAAGAATAAAGGTTTGTGATGTTCTTCCTTCTGGAGTACTCATCAACATCATTGGCCTATCTTATCACACATGGCAGCTGCAATTCTTGTGGTGCCTGTGACCAGCACTCCACCACTATGAACATCATTCAACTTCCCCAAGTGGGGAGGGGAAAATGAATAGGAGTATAATTTGTCATAAAAGGAGCTATCAATGTACACCTGAGTGATGACAGCCACACTACATATGTGCAGCAGGCTGAGTGAATAGGTGGTTACCATGTACATACAGGCTTACTCAGTTATGTCCTCATCTGGATGAGTGAATCATATGTAATACATGCTGTAACTTTTTTTCAGCTTGACAAAATCATTCAAAAGATTTACTACATACATGGGCTCAAAGTTTTGGTGTAATTTTGTCAACTAAACTTTATGTAACACCCTTTCTGTTATGGACGAATGGCCACAAGAATGTTGCCTCACGAGTTGCCATGATGATATATGTAGTGGATTGTTGGGATAACTTTGTCAATGACAAAAAAGTGACATAATGTATCACATGTGATTTATTCAGTCAGATGAGCAGTCAGCTGAGCAGACCTGTATGTACAGTCCCCTCCAAGTGGTTCACAATCATTCAAGTTCTGCAGTGGCGGGGCCGGGGCCTGTTGCAAACCCAATGATTACAAATCCTAGGTGTGGGGACGTGTACATGATAGGCAACTATAGCTAAGCCTGCTGCACATATGTAGTGTGTGTGTTATGTCTCAGGTGTGCAGTGATGGATCCCTTCATTCCAAACTACACTCTTAATCATTTTCCCCTTTGCACTCGGGGAAACTGGATAATGTTTACAGTGCATCCAAAAGTTCATTTTCTGCCGCTTCAAGAGTTATGAGCAATCACCGCTTGTCATTCACTCCCCTCAGTCTTGAGGCTCCGGTGTGTCTCAAGAGCTGGAATAAGGTGTTAGGAATTAAATGAACAATTTTTTTATTTAGAAGCCTTTTGGTTCTCTTTACTTTCTAAGTAGGATTATATCACTTAAAATTTGTCCCCATCGTGAGAATTCCTCTTTACTTTCTAAGTAAGATTATATCACTTACAAAAATTGTTTCTGTTATGCAAATTTGAAATACAAGTCTGCTGTTATCCCTGCTTCACCTCTTTGCCTTGCCTAAAATTCAGACAAAAGTTTGAATGTATCCCTCCTTTATTATTCAAAAGCAAGCCTAGCCCTGCCTGGCCCTGAATCCTAAAATTTAGGGAGTGCCCTGGTTGACCCACATTGATTTACCAAGGACCTTGAGTCTACCCAAGGCCGGGCCCGGACCCAGGGCCGGCCGTGAGCTCACAGGGCCGGGTCATAGCCCCAGTCAAAACATTCCCTTGGATTAGAGAATTGGAATTCTCTTTCAAGATAGACCAAAGCATTGGTGTGATTCTCCAAGTTTGACTGCCTGCCTGGGTTATTTATCCCAATTAGGATCACTATCAGAAATGGAGCTCATGCAGGCTCATACCCGCTCAAGTGTTGGAATCATGGGTTGAAGCTGGCTTCAGGCAAGCAACATGATTTCACCTCAGGCCGTATCATCAGTCATTGCTGTACTTTTCCTACCAGATTGGTAAAACCACGTGACCACGGATATGAAAAATAAAAATTTAGAAAATGATATTTAGCAGTACCATTTATCTTTCAAGACAGCTGGAATTATAAGTTTGAAAGATAGCTCTGAGCTTTTAGAAAAGAAAAGTAGGAGAAGGAGAAGGAGAAGGTGTTGATGTTTCTGTTTCTAGTGTAAGCTGATTTAAATGATATTTGTACATTTAGATCACAATTTGCAAAATATCAGCTTGGATCATCAATTCACAATGTAGGATAAGAAGTAGAGGAAGAATAAACAATTGAGATCATGATCTCTTTCTCAAGAATGATAATGAGGGTGAGGAAAAAGAATGCACAAATTGATTTCAAATACATTTTCATATCAACCACTTCTGTCCTTCAGGCTTCAGCAGATTTACTGGGGGGGCTCTTCCGACGGGGTGTCAACTTCACTGCATATGTACATGAGTCCGCCTTCGAGGCGTACAAAAAACACAACAATTTTTGGTGCGCCTTGAAACATAGTTGATTTAATTTTAAGGGTGTGCATCGGCTTCTTCTTTCGGTCATCTCAGAGTGCAGTCTTGATTTTCTTTGATTCTGGTGGATGCCTCCATGACTGTTATCTTCTGGTACGCTCCTGTGCTCCTTTATAAGTACACACGCTTATTCGAGGAATACGGCTTCAAGTTCCTATATACCTGTCATCGAACCGTATGTTTAAACTCAATGGAATTCTCCCTGACGGCGGCGAAGCGTCCGAGTCCCTTGTGGCGGAGGCAAAGGGTCCAGCCGCTCCACGAGGGACTCCATTGAATTTAACCATATGGCTCCCTCAAGAATTGTCATACTACTCAAAGCCATAACGCCGATGTTGAACCGAATGAGTAGAAAAAAGGTTCAAAGACGTAAATGCACGCCGGTGGCGCTACTTTTCCTCACTTCTCCGCGTGTGAGGGAACAAACGCAAAGCAACTCCAGAAGCTGGCTGCCGTGTCGGCGTCTACTACAACAGAGTAAAAATCCTATAAATAGGTAGATGGAAAGGCCGGTTTATGTCCCTTTCATACGCTTCCTCACTGCCCTCTTCTCTTCATCAAATCTTGCTCACTTACACGCTTTTTCCAATCGAACTTGATCTTCTTCTCTTGCTGTACCGAAGATGCTTCTCAAAATCTCCCTTTTAATCGTTACACTGTGGATTCATGGGGCCGTGAGCGATTATACCTGTAATACCCAGTTTACAATCGACGCAAACAATAATGGAAGTATGTGATCCGGTTATATAATCAATTGCCTGATCACTTCAGCATAATCTATACCTGCGGCTGATGCGGAACGGTTTCGTGATCGCTCACATTAAAAGTATGCAAGGGTCAGTTCGTAGACCAAACAGCACACGAGTATTCATGCGTACGCTCAAGCTGTGCAGATCAAAGTTAGTGTTTGGCGAACCAATCCTCACTCCTTTTATCAAAAAATGAAATTGTGAAGCTGATCGCTGGACATGGATTTTATCGCTAATGTAATTTGATGTTAGACCGGAATTACAGTCCGATGTCTGGCTGCAAGGGAAATGGATCGAGTAATCAGAACTGTGCTCAATATACTTACAACAAAAGCGCGGATGACTATAGTCAGTATTCCAAATCTTGAACCATCCGTTTTCGATGAAGTGTCTGATTCAAGATTTATACTCCATGTTTGTATGATGGACTCTCAGCTTGTATCAATCTCCAGAAAACTGCTTTTACATGCCCTGATACTCCTGCTAATGTGCCCGCCATGAGTCAGTCATCTTTAGTCATCAATCAAAAGCTTGCTGAACTGAGAATAGTGTTTTTTTCATTTTAGCATGCACGAGTTGCACCAAGGTAAATTAAAGGATCATGTAAAATCCTACTGAGGAAACACGTAGCATTCCAAGAATAGGACATAAACAATTTGTTGGATAATTCTGTGATCAATCTATTTGCAGCGTTATGGATACGAGTATCAAATTAGTGATGAGTTTTGGTGGATTTGAGTAGTTTAAACGTATTGCATATGGGCTGGTTTGAACTCAAGCGGAAAAGTGCTTATTCAGTTTCTAACTTTCTCTCATTAACTGGCAGTGCTTAGCGCTTCATATCTGTTTCTCAACCGTATAGTCTGTTTGCCCGCATCCAAACTAGATCCCTTCTAGTAACAAAATGTCAGATTGATGACTCTCTTTGAGTATAATCTTCAAGACCAATGTGGTTTTTTCCTTTTTTTGAAAGAGCAAGTCTTTCGCAAATATTTGGTTGAGGTCTGTTGATTGGTTGTTCAAGAAAAGCACAGATTTCCAGTGAGTAGCCAAAGAGATATTAGCCCTTGATCTGTCGGTCTCAACGCCTCTCTTGAAACCTCGTCAAGTTGAACCTTGAAGCCCCGGCAGAGCACTTCCCTGAAATCCACCCTCGAAGTCTTTGCCGAATGCTTTTGTCCCGCCGTGTGTGTGTTCTATTTTTTGTTCGTTATTCACTCTAGTATATAAGATTGTCCTGGCGAAAGCTGGAAAATAACTGAAGTGTTTAATTCATCTTTACATGACTCCCTGCAATGACGTCGAATAAGTTGAAATGACATCCTGAGTGTTTGTTTGATCGGCCTTGCCTCGAGTTCGACCCCCTCAAGGCTGTGAGGCGGGGATTTCAATAGGATTTCTTTCGGTTTTGCTCACATTTCGGAGCTCGAGCGTTATGGTTACATACCTATCTTCGAGGGGTTCGCAAAGTTGATGAAGCGTTTACTTCTTTGAATGAGGGATTTTTGCTTTCTCTACTCGCTAAAAGTTCCAATCCATGCTTCCTCCGCAATCAATCCAGGAGACTTTTCAGCTACTTTTTTTCTATAAAACCTTTTGATTACTTCCCCTAGTGTTCAGAGCAATCTTAAATCCTTTTTGTCAAGAATTTTACAAAACAACTCCATACTTTATCAAACAAATCGTTAATTTATCAAACAAACTCGTCGTATTACTATCAGCATTCAGTCTTCGATATGTATTCACGTTTACTTTTACTAATCTTTATTCAAAACATTCAATTTGTTTTCGGTGGGAGTTCACAAGAATGTTGTCTATTTTATGGTATAGATGATAGAAAACCATTTCATAATAGTAAGTGACCATCTGTTTTCTCCTCTCTCCTGATAGTAATACCTCATTCAATATATCATCCTTTTGAGAAAGAACTTGACAAATTCTCGTGTTTTTTTACTTAATCATCAGTTTGTAGGACTAAAGATAAACAAGTTTTTACTTGTATACAACCACCTTATCCTCGAATAAAACTTGAAAACTGTGTTCCTTATCAAGATAATCTAATTACAAATCCTTTGACCAAAGATGAACCATCTTCCCAAATGTGTGATGCTGTTTCAAGAATTCCAAATGGTGATGATACTGATACTTTTCATATCAGTACGTTGAAGTGTCTTTCATCGTATCACAATAAGCTTTTGGACATTAAAAACTTGCTTCTTTACCAGATTGTGGGATTGTCAAAACCGATGCAACCGGTAAAGCTACGTTAACTCGAGCTTTCCAGTGTTCTGATGTCGGATCCGTTCTTAAAGGTAATTCTCTTTCATCATGGATTACACAAAACGATATCGTTCAAGACTGACTCGGACTTTTCAAACGTCATCAGTCACGCAAAATTGTAAACCCCGGGCAGATGATCAACCTAAGCAAACCTTGTAAGTCAGACTTGCTAATCAAGTAGCTCAGTTTGATAAAACTCATATTTTCTGTTTCATCTTTTAGTGATTTAGATCGTTACCCTGTATCAGCAGGCGTAGTAGACTGATAGCTATAGCCAAAATTTTATTTCCTTGTCTTTGTTTTGTGTTGTTGTACACACATTCTCTAGCGAACTAGTTTTCGTACACTTTGTATTTTTCATTGAATTCTTTGATATTTTGATATGTTTGTGACTATTTAAATTGGAGTGTGTTGTATATGGACACTGAAAGTTTCAGTGCGGCTCAATGAACTCGAAATGTACACTGATATTGAAAGTCAAGTGCCTTCTGTAACTATCTATTGTGCTTTGAATGAAGCTCTTACCAGGTCGTTTTTGCTTTTTGTCGTTTTTTTCGAAAAACAAAGTCTTACAGCATGTTGTCCATGGGTAACCATAGTATGAATACGTGTTCCATCTTTGAGATTTTTACTATCATGGTATCTGAAAATTTGTTGTGGGATGTATTTCTAGTGCTGTACACTTGTCTTGTTTTCTTTCTATCTTTTCAAAATGTTCTGTGACAGGTTGCTAGATTGCTTGACCTAAAATTAAATGAATGCGGGTTTCCGAAAAATGAGCTCAGGAGTTCATGGTACTCAAGAATCAAGGACAGAATTAATCCTCTGTTCTCAGTGGCTCTGTTTGACACTATGAATTTAACATACTATTATCAAGACTTTTTCAGTCTTGATCTTTATAAAGGTGCTTGAGTGTTCCTCTTCTGACCTGGGGGCGCTTTCACCTCGGTGTGTGATTGTGCCAGGGACTTGGTGCAATTCACCAATATTGTTTAGGTGGAGATAGCCAGACGGCGACATGCATCTATAATATAGATAAATCAAAGCACTCCACTGATGCATATACATTTAATTGTAAACACCAACCATCAGAATACATGTACGTTATTTTGGCTTCAAAGACCAAAGCTTAAGTGATGTATTTGTGAAGCTACAAGGTGGCAATCCTTTGGAGATAATCTATTTCAATGGGTAACTGCTGAAGAGTATGATCTACCTCTTGATGTTGCCAAGATATACAAAAAAGAAAATGATCAACAAACAGGAAGGCTGTCTTGCCTCATGTGAGACATGAACACTTCAACCCTCCTTCAGCTTGTGAAACTTGGCCCAGAGTCCACCCCTATAGCTCAGGACTAATGTGGGAGCTTCCTGGATACTGTCTTTACAAGCAGAAGGACCGACTAACTCTGCCCCTGAAAATGATTGTATCAACCTCAACAACACAAGAGAAGCTTCTGAAAGGGCTTTTGATGTGAAGATGATACACATAATTAGAATCTAGAATTAACTCAAGAGGAAGGCAAAGGCACTGAACATACCAGACTGTTGACCAATGCAAATTCTTGGTCCGGCACTGAAAGGTTGAAAGGCGGATGGGTCTCTACTTTTTTCAGTTTGTGATCCTTCTAGCCAGCGCCCAGGAACAAAATCATCTGCATTCTAAGATAGAAAGTTTGAAGACAAAAGATGAGACTCAAGAGTGATGGTGAAAATTTCACTTCTCTTTCTAGACTCACTTCACCCCATAATTTACGGTCCCGGTGAAACGCATGCATGTAATATTGAATGTCCGTTCTGAAATATTTATCATCAAGTTGATTACAAATAAACAGCCTGAAGTGAAATTTCTACGGAAATGTATAGAACAGATACTGGACTCACCCTGCTGGTACGAAAATGCCTGAAGGCAGGACATCATCTTCGTATGCATGACGTGTGCTAGTCCACAAGGGAGGATGGAGCCTAAAGTATAAGTGAGTACATCAGACAAGTGAGCGTATGTTGCTGAGGTGGATAAAAGATTGAATGTACCGAAGTGTTTCATTCAAGACTGCCCGTAGTAACTTTAGTTTTGACAAATCTTCAAGAGATACACCAGCAGCAGTAGAAATCTCCGCCGCCTCCATTTGGAGCCGCTTCCATAGCTCATCTCGTCCAGCCAGCTCGTATATACAGCTCGTGAGAAGTGAAGCAGTGGTATCTCGAGCAGCAATTAATACATTGAGAAGTTCAAACCGAAGCATCTCAGGTGAGCAGCCTGATTGACGTAAGCTTTCAACCAAGTTGATCTCTTGGCCTTCGCCTCCATCTGTATTTCCTTGATCACAAGACAAAAGCTTATCAACCATCTCAGTTACAATCTTGATTGACTTGTTGGGCATCGTAACTGCGTGGATGGCTCTTCTTAGCAAAGCTGGAAATTTTACATTGCATGGGTATGTTCATTTGATTAGATTGACTGTATCGCGGTGATTCAGACTATTTTTTTTATTCTTCAGAAACAACTCACAGGGAAGCAAGGAAGATTTCATGGCGTCCATTGTAGCGTCTTGGAGGGCTTGAGAAAAGCGAGCCGCGTCGATAAGATCGTCTTCGGCCGGCCTGTCAGCAGTCAAATCATTGAGCATGTCTAAACACTTTCCAAAAAGGTGCTGGCTTGACGAAGTTAAAGTAAATCGGGAGAAGACTATCAGATGTATCATTGAAATCAGTATAATTCGGCGACTATGCTTTACAGGTATAAAAATTGGAAATGAAAGACTTGCCATCTTGTATATCTGCACCTTCATCTACTTCGGTTTTGTTCTTGAGCCATTTCACAACACGATGAATATGTTCCTCGCTTGCATCAAGATCAGAAACACGCTTTCGAGTAAAATGCGGACGGATCAATGATCTGTGCCATGACCAAAGTCCTCGTTGATCCGAAGAAAATACACCATCACCAAGGAGGGGTTGGAATCCCTCTACGGCGTCAGGCGACTTTCCCCATTTTTGAAAACCAGTAGTAAGGACGTGTTTCGCGTCAAGATGCGATAGAGTGTGTATCATCTCGATCCCTAAATAATGGGTGCGGATCACTTGAGTTCCTGGACTAATCCCTCGAGCTCTACTAAAGGGATGTCGTAGATCTGATATAGTTCCAGTAGCAATCAAATTGGTGCGATCGAGGACATATGAAATTCCAAATGGAAGTGGAGAGTAGGCTTTTGGTGCCAGGCGAGCGTTACAAGCCCGAGCACGTCTACCTATTTTATATTCTCTGAGTTCCAATCGCAACTCTCGAATGAGCCAAAGAAAAGATATCAAGACAAAAATCTGACCCGGTGTACTGAGGCTAATTCGAGAACAAAGCCTCTCGTAGAAAGATGATAGAAATTGGCTCGACATAGATACAAATAGGAATTGATGTCAGAGTGTGGTTGGGATGTTCGCAAAAGCAGCACATATCAGAGGAATTATACAAGCCCTCTCAAAACTTGTTCTGCTCTTTCTTCCGACGCTTTCTAGTCTCGTGGTGGGCGCGAGGTTTGGATTTAGGGCGCGCCCAGCGCGCCTTTTAAATCTTTTCAAAGGCGCGCCTATAGTGGGGGCGTCAAGGGCGCGCCTTTTGAGTATGTAAAATCGAAAAAAATGGAAAAAAACTAAAAAAAATCAAAAAAAATCAAAAAGGAACAAAAAAACTGTCAAAAGTGTTGCAAGGGGAAGCCTGAGGATAAATTCTTGCAGATATTTATTACTTGGATGGAGAACAATGGAAATTTTCAAAATTGAATATTGTAACTTTACAATACTGGCATTGAGCAAGCCTGCGGTTTTTGGTGCCGTGTTGATTTTTTCGACATAAGGGAACCTTTCCATCAGTTTCCAAAGTTTACAGTTGGTGAGATCCACTCAGATGGTGTCTCGGTATTGTCCTTTGGCATGAATGGAGGTGGTGGGGTGTAAGAAAACAGCGAGAAAGCCCGAAAACGGCAGAACAGGCTGAAAGGGCGCGCCCACCCCATATTTCAACTTTTGGGGCGCGCCCTCACGCCTACGCCCGGGCGCGCCTCAAAGGCGCGCTTTTCACGCCACGCCCACCACGAGACTTTCTAGTCATACCTGAGTTGGAGCATGCTTCACTGAGCCTGATAAGACTTTTTTTATTCAAAGCCTGATTCACCTCCTGCGCCTCACTCGATCACTCGTTCCAGAAAAGTAAACAGTAGATTAAGAAAAGTTTGCCCCAAATTCCCCGCGAAACTCGAGCGAATTGGCGGGGAATATGGGGCAAGCTTTTCTTTCTCCAAAGAATCGGAGCCTGCGCGAAGCGCGGAACAAGTGCAGAAAGCGCGGAATTTATACAGACCTATACAGCCTGCTTTCGAAGAGCACTGTCGAACGCGCAAAGAGGGGCTTAGTTAAGCTTAGGGTATTCAAGATTTTCAGAAGACTTTCTCGCCTACTTCAGCGTAGAGTTCTATGAAGGGAGTACGTTTTGTGTTACCATTTCATTCATCATTACTCAACAATACAAACCTGAAAGAAACAATAAAGCAAAACAAATGACCTGGCTGTTACGAACAAGAAAGTAGATAGTTATGGAATCCTAATTGATCTATATTTTATGACAAATGCTATCATATTTTTCTCTCAAGTCTGTTTGTTCTCATCTATGACAAGCAGAGTTGGTCGTCCCGGAATCTTGTATGCATTCTTTGGTTTTCCATTTTTACCGCGCACCGGAGATCCTCGTACGGAAGGTTTCGACATGACGATCTCTGATGCAGAACGAGAACGCCTGTATGTTTGGCCTTCTGCGTGAGCAATTTCTTGATGCGCCATACTTCGAATATCGTTTTTCGCTCGTACTGATCTATTGCCGTCAAAAAAAACATTCTTTCCATTCTTGTTACTTGGAGTTGGAGAGTGTACAAGATCCAAGTTATCGATGCCGCAAGTGGAAGTACTTGGCCAGCTGAAGCTTTTGCTATAGAGTGAGCCACCTCCGATTGTTTGGGTTTGGGCCCCTAAGGATTTTTTAGTAGCTCGTTGGACACTTTCACTTTGAATTACTTTTGGTTTTTCATTGGAATTCGTTAACTTTGGGGGCCTGAATAAGTTGATCGGTCCTTCACTTTCTATTTCCAGTGATTGGCTCCGGCGTCCTTTGGGATCAAAGTCGGCGAGGGCTGTTGAATTTGAAGGGGATATCATTACAATGTCACTTGCAACCATCAGTCAATGATATCACTCACCTCTGTTTGGTTGCTTAGATGGACTAAGTTGTGAAAAAGACAACCAGTTCAGGAATGTTAGTGATCGGCTCTTAGATTCTTTTGCTTCACATTCCGAGAGGTCTGTTGAAAACAGAAAGATGATTAACCCATCACATCAAACTATCATTTAAGAATAGCGCTCACGTCTGTTTGATTTCTTAGATGGAGTACGTGGAGAAGGAGACATCTCAAATTTTGTGTCACTAGAAAACTTGCCTGTCTTTTCTGGTACGAGTATATTATTGATGGTATCTTTTTTGCTTCCGAGTTTATAATATCCCATACTCCTTTTTGATAAGACATGTTGATTTTTCCCTAACCTGTTATGAACTTGATTAGCTTTATCATTGAGTGTAGTTGTACGATCTGATCTAGGAATGATAGATTGAAAGTCTGATATTATCACAGGATGTGCTTCTGATTGAGCTGTTTGTTGTGAGTCTGTTATCATATATGCTATGCTTGTTAGAATAAGAGATACGCATAGAAAACAAAACAACATTTGTTGACATACAGAAACCATGATGTATATATTACTGTCGAGGGTTCAATGGTTCAAATCAATGGTTGATAGCTTCGTTATACTCTAAGTAGAGATGACACCGTGTGAGGCAAGGAAATATGCTCGAAGCTGGAGCGGTGATTGATTAAGGACGGTGATAAAGATATGGCTTACTTTACAAGCTGGATCGTCAAAAAGCAGATAGATGCAACAGTATCAACAAAACTTTGGGGTGACCGTAGAAGAGGAGAAAGTCGGTATCTTATGGTACATGCTCATACTCTTTTATTCGTAGTCACTACTTATGACTCAAGAGGTATTACGCGCATCAACCGGGTTTTTCACTTCATGAGGTCTGTTCTGTCGCGGTTTACAGTACTTATTACTCGTCGTGCGGGATGAAGATGACGGCGCAGAACATCAGAATGACGGAACGAGTTTCGAAGTTGAAAGGTGATCAGTACATCATGTTCTTATCTTTCACAAAGAATCGTTAGAAAGATGAGATCTATCTCAAATAAGTTATGTCATCCAACTTTGCCCGCAAAACTTGAACAGTTTGGCGGTAGAATTCGAAGCAAGCTTTATAAAACTTGGTGTGCAACAGAGTACTTTATCATATCATTGCGATCTCATTGACTTGATACAGCGAATGTGGTCATTTTGAGAATGATTTGCTTGCTCATTCTTCTACATAACTATCAATTTGCAGTAGCGTTATATCAAAGAACATTTTTTTTGAAACTGCAATGCAAACATACTGAGCACTGCAGTGTTCATGTCCTGACGAAAGCCCTCACCTTTGCATGCGCAAAGGACAGTGTCTCAGCGGGGCCTGAAGGTGGTCCAGAGCAAGGCTGTCAACCTGAGCCCCGAGTCAGGATGAGCCCCGGCTCCGGCGGAGGCGGAGATCCCCGGTCTACCGTACCGTCGATACGGTAGCCGGGCTAGAGCTCTGAGAACCCCGACACCGACCCGGCTCCGTCGGATCGGGGTCCGGCCTGAGGTATCAAGATCCCCGATTTTTCTCGGAGAACCGAGAAACCGTACATAGATTATGAACAGTTATGATACATATTCAAGCAAGGATGGGTGAACAAGCAGTTGATACATACAAGGAAGTGATTAACAGTGTTCAAAGAGAGTTATGAATTGAGATAATAAAAACAATAAAGAGTTAGAAATCGAGATAATAAAAACGATAAAGAGTTAGAAATCGAGATGACAAAAGAATCATGATTGATAGTTGAGGGAAAGGTGAGGAGATGAAACTGAATAGATAGACATCATTCAATCACAGCTATAGGTTCTGCC